CCACCCACCCATCCTCCTCAAGGACAGGAGAAGCCAGTTGTAGGGCCTGGTGGACCTCTGCACCCTGCCTCGCCCCCCTTACTTCCTCTCACCTGGGCTTTGTGAAAGGTTCTTGGAGCCTTTGTTCCCCAAGTCCCAGGCCCAGAGCTCCACAGGGTGGCTGGTCCGGAGCAGCGGGGAGCTATTGGCCTGGTGCAGCTCTGCAAAGAAAGAGTCAGCGGTTGGGGGACAAGCCAGGGTGGGCCTTTCAGACTCCCAATCACAGGCTCCATCCTCAGCCTTGTCATTCAGTTATGCTTTAGGGCCCCTGAACCCAGAGAAAAGCAGAAAGAGCTTTTCTCCATCCTCTCCACCTACCCCCTCCCTCCATCCAGGCAGCTTGGAGTCAAAAGATGGCACCCATAGCCTGGCTCAGCCATGTAGTAGCTGTGTGACCTTTCTGAGTCTCCATTTCATTTGTAAACACCCACTTCAAATGATGGTTTTGCCAATTAAATAAAAACAGATTGGAAAGTTCCTGGCATCTAATAGCTTTCTTTTCCTTTATTTTATACATTCCAATCTTCCTGATTGCTCTACCCCTACATCGCTACTCTTCTCATGAATTTTGGCTCTGTGAAGACATATACTCCTTTTCTTGGAAAGAATCTATTAATTTTCATTTTTCACACGGCAAATATCTTGCATGGTTCTGGCTAGCCCTGCCCTGAGAAACCTGAGATGTCTCTCGCCTTGGGAGATGGATTGGGCTGCCAAATTGAGCTGAATAGGTAAGAGAAAAAAGAGTAACCCCTGACAGCGCTAGGTGTGACAGGAACTTTAGAGTAGGAAGATATGTTGGTCTCATCCAAGGAGGCAATGCCTTGCCCATAGAGAGTCAAATTTGTTGGAGAAATGAGTAAATGATGGATGCTATCAGAGATGTAGGTGTAAACACAGGATGAAAAGAATCACATACAAGATGGCAGCTATCACCTCGCCCACAGGGCCACTTAAGAGACAGGGTTGAGTGAACTCTCATAATAGAGAAGCTGAGGTGACAGACCCAGCTGTGTGCAATGACCTGTGAGCATGCTTCCTGGTCAGGCCAAAGCCCAAATGGATCTAAGTTTAAACCAGAAAGGAACTGAATAATAGAAATAGAAAATAATAGATTTTCCCAAGACCAGGAACTAGGAGAGCATCAAGCAAAGGAGGGAAAAAACAGCCTTCAGGTTAGTATCACATGATCAGAAGCCCAGGCCAAAGACTAGGCAGGACCCTAGAGGCAGAGCTTTGGACTGTCTGAAGGGCTGTCCTGGGGGTCACCATGGGTAGATCAGGGCAAGGACAAGACCAAGATCCCATATGGGTCCCAGGGATCTATGTACAGTGGCCAGAACTTCTGAGCCAGTGGGAGGAAAACCCACACAGTGGCTAGACTTCTTCCATTGAAGTTTGGTTTTGTACTTTGCCTGTTTGGTTTTTGTATATTTCCTGTGGTTGTTGGATGACCTAGGGAATCTCGGAGGCCAACTTCAGGAGCTCCAGCTCTGCTATCATGAGCTTTGTCTTGCCTAATGCCTGGCTTCTTAACTAAGCTCAGAAATGGGGACACATGTTGGTTGCTTGGTTTGTGTAGAAAAAGAAGGGAAAAGGCCCATCCTGGAAAGGCCATATTTGTCTCAACTCTTTTCATTTTTCTCTAAAGGATTCTGGTAACAAAAAGCCTCCTCCCACTTTGCTTGGAATTACTTGGATTTTAGTTTCAATGTTATCTGAATAAATTATGCAATAAAAATGTTATCAAGTTTAGGCCAAATCTCATTGGCCATACCTGAATCTCAATAAATATTTGTTTGAATGAATGAATTAATGAGGATGTTCAGTGTAAGTATCTGGCAAAGTAAGCAGAACTAAGAACCTGATATAACGGGTGAGACGTGGAAGAATGCAGTTGTGAGAATATTGGTCCTGGAGAAAAACCCCAACTAAGGTCATAAAATAAGAAAAAGGAATAAGTTGGTCAAAGGGAGTGGAAGCACTGAGAGAGCCTGCCAGTTTTAGAAGATGAAGAATCATCAGTTTTGGACTAGGTGACAGCAGCAGAGCCAATGCCATGGCTCTGGACAAGCTCAGGGCATGATCTTGCTGTAGCTGCTGAGGTCCCGGGAGCCAGAGATGGGCCAAGGGTCTACCAGCCCACAGACATCACTGTGGTTGACCCATCGTGGGGCAGTGGTGGGGTGGGACTGGGGTGAGGAGAAACAGGGCTGAAGTGAGGACCTAACCCCCTGAGGGAGGTTAGGAAGCCTCATCTGAGAACTGGAACCTTTGTTAAGAATCGACTTCAGAAAACTACTCACCCTTGTCTAGGAGTATTAATGGTCTAAGATGGGCTATACGCTGTATTCAAGGCCAGGTAGTTCTCCATAAGAAAGCTGGTTTTTAAATGAGACTTCTGCAACCTCTTTTTAGCTGGTATTTTATCATGAGGATGTCCAAAGCAATAGCTCTGAGGCAAAGCTGGAAAGAATGCCGGCTTCACTAATATTTAGAGTCATAAAATTCTGGATATTGGACAATCTCTGAATTACTCTGAATCCATCTTTGTCTTAATAAAAGTTGGAATATAAGCTTTTAAAAAATTGGCTACCGAACATTTGTAAATCTTGCTAATCTGTAGAGAAGGCTCATGAATTCAGCCCATAGAGTGCAGGCCAGCATTCAGAGATGGGAGAAAAGAGTTGGAGAGAGGAGGGATTTCCCAAGGGTGCTCCCACAGGGAGTCAGAGGAGCCTTGGGAGCAGACCACTCTGGCTTCAGATTTGAGTTCTGCAGCTTACTGATGAGGGGTTTTGAACAAGTTACCCGATTCTGATCCTCTTTCCCTGTCTGTAAAATTAGAGACCTACTACCTAATCAACATGTTGTGAGGATTAAATCAAATAACAAATTATAAGTAAAGCACCTAACATATAGTGGTTGCTGAAGAAACAGAGATTATAATTATTTCTCTCTGGAAAGTCAAAGCAGGTTGCTGGAAGACAGGAGAAAAATCTGGGCAGAAAGTACATTCTCTTTCTCTGGGAGTCGTGCTCTCTGCAGAGCACAGAGACTGGAGTTCATGGGAGCTGGAGGCTTCCCACCAGCACTGGTCACATCCTGCGAGGTTCTAGAATGACTTGTGTGCCAGTCAGGCACTTTCATTAGGCTTGAAGCCGTTAGAGGACAAGGACTGTATCTGGTATCTCTTGAGTCACCATGTCTGGCATACAATGGTGCTTATTACATGTTGTTGAGTTGAGTTGACTGCAGAAACAGGGCTCACTATTGGTGTGGCCAAACCGAAACAAGAGCACCATGTAAAGAAAAACTGAGGCCAGCATACGCCTAGCTGATTGCTTTTGGTGATGGGTGTCTGCAAGACAGGAGAATCGAAGCTGTGGGGGGGTGACACCTACACCCGGCTTCGGGGCCCCAGGCCACGTTCCCACCACATTCCCACTCCTGGTCCCTCCTCCTACCTGCCACAGGCTGGGTCTGTCCTCTCTGTCCTTACCTTGCTTCTTCTTGGCCTTCCAAGCCTCTGCCTGGGCCACAGACAAGCGCGGGGATGAGAGACCCCTGCGGCTGCAGAGGCTGTCTGCACTGGGCCAGGGGCTGGAGAGCCGGGCCAGCTTGGGTGGGAGATGCCTGACAGCTGGGGCCTGGGGGCTTGACCGGGCTGGAGGGCTGGAAGGCAGCTCAGCGATGAGGGAGCCATAGAAAGTGCTGGTGTCGGGAAGCAGGGGCACACCGGGGCTGCGGGGATCCCAGGAGATCACTGCAATAAAAAATGACAGGAAGAATTATGGTGACCACATCCTGCTCCATGCCCCCCTCCTCCAGTCCTGGGATCCCTGCTCCACTGCTAGGTCTTGGTCCCCACTGAGCATGCTCACAGGAGCGACGACAATCTAGTGGGTCCCGGGGGTCCATTCCCAGCCTGCTGCTAAGGCTGCTGCTGCTGCTCAGGTCCCGAGAGCCAGAAGTGGACCGCCAAGTGTCTGCCAGCCAGGGGGAGTCACTGTGATCCATCCTGGGACAATGGGGGTAGGACAGAGACATGATGAAGTGAGAACTTAATTGGCCAAGACCTCCAGCTCAGAGGGTAGCTGAAGGGGTTGAGAAGATGGTGGTATCGGCTTTATTCTGCCTACTTTTCAGCCCTTCAGACTCCTTAAAATCTTTGACCTGGTGCCCCAAACTCAGTACTCTTTCTTATCCTGGAATCAGAGGAAGTCCAAGCTTCCCAGAGCAAGGAGGTATTAAAGAGGGAGAGCTGTGTGCTAAGACAAAAAGAACACAGATCTGGAAGCCAGACAAACCCCGTTTGAAAATCTCCATCTCTCATAGCCCAGCTGTGCAGCCCTGGGAGTAAGTCTGTCAGCCTCTCTAAGCCCCAGTTTCTTCATCTGCAAAGTGGCAACAACAGGCCCTCCATATAAGGGTGATGCTGTGAGCTGAAACGAGGAAATGTGAGATCAGGCAGCTGGCAGAGCAGGACTTGCTACGTGGAGCTCGCCTCTCTACCCACGCTGGCTGCCTGAGTGATCTTTTGATAATAGGGATCAGACGAAAGCACTTCTCTGCTTAAAACTTTCAATGGCTCCTGATCTACCAAGAGAAAGCCCAGCTGCCTAGCATGGCCAACAGGGTTCAGGTTGGTCTGGCTTCCAGATCCCTAACCGTATCCCTTGCTCTGACCCATCTCACACCCTGTGCCCTGGCCAGACCAAACAGCTTGTCCTGCCCTGTGAACATAGCAGGCTATTTCTTGCTGCTTCCTTTGCCCTTCCCCTTCTTACTGTCAAGGTAAATGCGTAATCTTCCTTGCATATTTCCCCACCCTAACCCCCTTCATGTTATCTGGTACATGTTTCTGTACTTCTAACTCAGGATTGCATTCATGTGCTAGCATGGCTGCCTCCATCTAGAATGACTTCCTGGAAGATGCCGACTGTTCTAAAGGAATGAATGGATCTCCCTCAAGGACAGGGATGAAATTCCAGGGAGGCAGAGAAAGTTCGGGACAGAGAAGACAAAGCCCAGGAGGTAACTAAAGAGAAAGGCCAGTGAGCACAGAATGACACAGGAGCATGGCACCAGCTTGGAACCTTGCTCTGGGCTGAGAAATTGACAGCAAAATCATCTAGCTAAATATGTCTGGTACATAGTAGGTGCTCAAAAAACTGCTGAAAGATGCAAACCTGGGATGTGAAGTCTCCTAGAGGACATCTAATGAAATAAAGAGCAGGGGAAAGTGGGCAGAGATGAAATGGTTATTTAGGGTAAAGCTTAGCCAGTAGGAGAAAAAGGGATGTTTACTTTCTTAGTATCTTGTCTCATAACTGCAGACTTGTTGTGGCAGCCAAACACACTTGGAGCAGAGGTACCTGCAACTAACCACCCTGTTACTGAAAAAGGAGGAAGAATCTATGGTGTGGGGGCAGAGCGCCCTCTGCTGGAACTGTAGGTGGATTATTGTGACGGAAAGATGGCGCAATAGGTGAGTGATTTACCAAATGCAAAGGCACTGCTAGGTGAGTGTACAGAGAAAATTAGAAACTAGATTGGTCCTCTCATGCTAGTTATTTCCCACCAATGAAGGATGAGTCAGCAGGAAAATGTAGTCAGTATTAGTGAGAGGTCAGTGACAAGAGCACTGGATTAGCAATCAGAAGGCCAGCTGTGTTGCCTTGGGCAAAGTCACTTAAATTTATGACTCTTGCTTTACTCGCCTGTCAACTGGCATGATAGTAACATTATTGAAAGAGAAATTAATTCTCACTTGGAGTTGAGGAGAGATTCAGGTACTAGGATCCCAAACTGCCTGGAGTAGGGGAAACTCCATCTAATTCTCTGTCCCATCTCCACTGTCCCTTGGCCCCTCTGCCCTCCCTCACGTCAGGCCCCTCCCCTTACACCTCTCACCTGTGTTTTAGGATGGCGTCCTCACTGGTATATCTGTATAGACCTGAGAGAGGACAGGAAAAAGGCTAAATCAAAAGTCACCAACACCATATTAAAGATCTAACCTCCCAGTAGTATTCTGACTGGACCCAGGGAGGCTTGACCACCTGGAGTCCACCTCATCCTCTCACCTGGGCCCAAGTGTACCCCAGTTCGGCGCCGGCGGTGGACACACACGGCTGTGCCCAGCAGCAGTAGCCAGAGCACAATACCCCCACTGGCAATGACCTCTGGACGCCTCAAGGTGGATCTTAGCTGTTCCAGGATCCATGGACCCTGGTCACTGGGTTCTCGGGCAGCTCGCTCCATGACCTGCTCTGTATGGGATTTGGAACTCAGGGGTTGGGGCAGGTGAGGCCATGAGGGTTGGACCGAGAAGGGGGAGAAGCTGGACGTGTGAGGTGGGAGCAGGGAGAGAAGAAGGTGGGAATTGGGACTGAGGGTTATGGGTGGGACCCGTAGGTACTGCCCTCACCTAAAATGAGGCAAACGGGGCTGCTGGCCTCCCCAGCCCCAGCGCCAGTGAATGCAGCCACTTGCACACAGTAGGAACCTGGTGTTTGGGTGGCAATCTCCAGCTGCATCTGCTCGCCCACCACAGTCCAGTTGGTTGGTGGCAATGAGGTGTTTCCCAGGCTCCACACCTGAGGACAAGCAGGGGTGAGCAGCGCCCCCAGGCACCATTGTAGCAGCTGAGCCTTTCATTTGCAGATGAGACTCTGGACCTGTGGTCATCCTGCCCTGTCATTTACCTGGGGACACTCCCCCTGCACCCGCGCCCACGCTTCTTATTCCTGTCCTGTGTCCTACATCTGTGACCTTAGCCTCACTCTCCATGTCTGTAAATTGGAGATAAGAACCCAGGGTGGATGGTGAGATAAAATGAGATCATGTAGGTAACTGCTTGGCAGGGCCTAGCAGACACTGGCTCAACAACAGTGCACCGCGCAAGGGCATACAGGATGCTGGGGTACAGGAGGTCCTGGCTCCACTAGGAAGGGGTGTGTCAGCTTCTGGCGGGTACCTGGTAGCCACGGATGATGCCATTCTGGTTTTCAGCAGGTGGTGGGACCCAGTTCACAAGGACACTGCCATTGCCAGGTTTTAGGGTCACCTCCTGGGGAGGGGCACTGGGTACTGGGGGGGAGGGAGAGAGGCTATAAGGAATGCTGAGGGAGAGGACTCTAGGAAAAAGAGCTGGGATGGGGACACAGGGTCAGAGGCCACACTGATGAGAATAGGAGCTCTGCTTGCCAGGAGTAGGACCCAGGATCCCCCCAGAATGGAGTGGGCCAGCCCAGGGCCCCCCAGACAAGAAGGGACCAGAGGGTCTGTTGTTGGGTTCTGGGGGTATCTGTCCCTGACCTTTTTCGGGCAGCCTCAGAAGCAGCACGTTGCTGTCAGGGCCTCGGGCCCGTCCAGTGGATGGTCTCACTTTGAACTCGTAGTCTTGTCCCCACTGGAGGCCCCCAAGCTCAGCGCTCTGCCAGCCAGCCAGCAGGGCCTCTGCCCATGGAGCCCCCTGGCCTCCTGGGGCGGTCTGGGCCCTGAACAGCACTGTGTAGGACTGAGCAGGCGCAGCAGGGCCACTCACCTGGGAAAGGGTCCAGAGAAAGGCCAAGGGGTCACGGAGCTCATGACCAGCCCTTTTGTGAGCTCTGGGCCAGCTCCCACCCCGGGTCCTGGGACTCACCTTCCAGCTGAGCCACACAGTAGGCCCAAGCTTGGTGCCCTTTGCAGGGTCCGGCTTCAGTAGGGTCACGTTTTCCAGCTGAATCCGCACAGCTAGAAGCTCCAGAGGCTCCTTGTAATCCTGGGGCTCTGTGGGGGCATAGGTCTGGGATGGGGCCTACAGGCCAGAGTGAAGGAATTGAGGAGTGGAACCCCTTAGCTGCCAAGAAACCGAAACTCCCAGATTCCCCAGGTCTAGAGCACTTCTATTTCCACTCTAGGATGGGGTAACTGCCCCTTAAGTGGAGTTCCCATCACTCTGACTCTGACCCTGATCCTAGGTTGAGTGCCACATACCGTAACTCCAGCCAAAACCAGATCATACCACCCTAACTGGAGGCCCCCACAGTAGCTCTGACTTTAGCTGACTATCCTCCCCTTACCCTGGACAGACACCCTGGCTGCCCGGCTCTCCCGTTGTCCTGCGTTGTTGGTGGCCACACACATATAGGTCCCTGCATCACTCTTCTCGGCTCTTACCATCAGCAAGGAACCCCTGGATACCTGTCAAGACCAAGTGCATTGTGAATTCTCCCATGTGGGGAGAGGCTCTAAGTGGGGAGGGAAACTTAAGGCCTTACCGCCTTCCTTTCCTCAAATTCTGCGGGGGACATGGGGCTATAGAGTGGGTTAGTCCTTCAGGGTATGCCCAGTCATGCTCAGGACAGGATAAAGTATGGGGAAGAGAGAGCTACACTCACCATGTGCCGTCCGGGCTGGAGAGCCAGAGGTTTCCCATCCTTCCACCATGAAACTGTGGGCTCTGGGTGGCCCCAGGGTGGCACACACTCCAGGATCACCTGCTCACCCACCGTGGCCACTGTGTCCCGAGGTTGGATCTGAAAATTCTCCTGAAGGACTGTGGGGAGGATGGAGGGTCCTCAGGGAGCAGCACCAAGTCCTCCCCTCCCCAGGTGTCCCCCCAGGTGTCCCCTGCCACACCTGCCCCATTCTGTTCTACCTGCCTTGTGTTCACTGACTTGCGTCCACTCCTCAGAGCCCCACCTTCCAGGTCTCCCATTTGGTTCACTCCTAACCCAACTCTCGCCTCCCATCTTCCAGCCCAGCCCTCCCCTCACAGATATCTCCTCAAACCCCCCTCACCTCAGGCATCTCACCCCAGGTGTACCCCCCATCAGGTCTCCCCTCCCAGGCCTCACCAGGCACAGACAGGCGAGCCCCTCGGCTGACAGCTGTGCCCAGCTGGTTGCTGGCCTCACATGTATAGACACCCAGGTCTGTGGATGGGGCCTGGTCATTGTGGGCACGTCCCCGGGCTGGGGGCCGCAGCAGCAGTAAGGTTCCATCAGGTAGGAGGTGGTGTACATCTGGAGGTGCCATGCTCAGGGGCTGCCCATTCAGCAGCCAGCGGATGGTGGGAGGCGGCTGGCCTGAGGCTCGGCAGCTCATCTTGGCGGGGCCAGGGCTCTGGAACAGCTGGTCCTGAGGGTGGACTAGGATCTGGGGTGGGGAGTCCTCAGCCATGCTTCCTTGGGGGGAAAGGGAGGCAGAGCCCGGTCTGACTACCAATAGTCTCCCCCAAATCCCTGCACACCTCGTCTGCCTTCTCTCGTCTGAAGATCAACTGCCAAATAACAAGCTAGCTGAGAGGGGAGAGGAGGGCCTGCGGAGCTCTCAATCTGTCTGTCTTACACACATGTTATCACCATCACCATCACCATCACCATCACCATCACCATCATTATCTCTCGTGCCCCTACTGCAAAAAGGAGGGAAAGGAGCAGGAGGGTCTCTTCTCCTCTGGTCAGGCCTTGGATCAAGGGGGCATGGGCTAGGAAAGGGGAGGGCCACACTCACCCATGCCAAGCAGAAATAGGAGAGGTAGGGGCCACCAGGACCCCAGGAGGCTGGCTCTTCCAGAGCCCATGGCTGCTCTCAGGCCTCTGTCCTGGTCCCAAGCACTTTGTCCTGCTGGTCTGAGCTCATAGCGAGGGAAGGAGGGGTGGGGCGGGCTGGTGGTGGTTGTTTGTGGCTGAGACTGCCCCAGAGGGAAGCAGCTTTGAGGAAACCGATGCTTCCTGCCTGGCCCTCAGTGCCTTGAAGAACTGGGAGGAGCCCAGAGGAGTGAAACTCTCTGACCTTGACCCTCTCACCATAACCTCTGACTCCAACCCCAGCCCTAGGGTTCACCTTGTGATATTCAAGGTTTATCTGGAAATCTTAGTCTGGGCTTTCTTAAAGGTAATTCTTACACTAACCAGAACTCCAACCACAGCCTTGATCTTTTAACCCTAAGCCTCTATTTAAACCTTGAACCCTCATCCTTATCCCTTTGCTTCCAAGTGACCCTCTGTTAGAGTGGAATGGAAACCCGGAAGTGGGATCTCAGGGCATAGCATGAAGAGGCTGAGGATAGAGGAAAGTGGGCTACAGGCAGAGGAAGCTAAGTGGAGGGGAGCAGGAGTGTATCATCATTCCTCACTCCATACCCCAAAGATAGATGGGGCTAGGGGGTGGGTAGGACAGAAGATAGGAAGGATTCAGGGGCTCTGGGTCAAGCTGGAGATGCCCACCGTGTGTTCCTCTTTAGTTCAGAGACACATGAAATAAGCTTCTGGGAGATCTTAGACAAGTTCCTTAACCCCTGCAAGCCACTTTTCTTACTTGTAATGGAATAATAATAATAATAATAGTGCCTACCTTGAGGGCTGGAGTAAGAATGAGATGAGATAAAGCACAAAATCACTTAGAACAGTAACCTAACACATTATAAAATTGATCAGGAAGTTTAGCCAATATTGTTATTTTTATGCACATCCCATCACTGAAATGACTCAAGCGTCCTTGGCAGATATACTTTTCAGGCCCTGGAAAGGTGGTTGGAGTCAATGGTCTCTAAGAGTCTTTCCAGCCCTGAAACTTTGTGTCTGCAGCAGACAGGCCTGTAGTTTCTGAGCCTACATTGTCAGTGTTCACCCTGCTGCTCCCCACCCCCTCCCTAAAGAGAGGCTGTTCTTCCCTCTCAGAGCCCAGCTCCTGTTTACAGGTCTCTTCCTTCCAAATTTGGAATCTCAGCCATTTCCTGGAGCTGTTCCCGGAAGGCCGAGGCTGGCTCTGAGGGCTCAGCGGAAGAGTGTCCAGCCTTTGTTCCCAATTGTTCCTGGCCAGCTCCTCTGTGGGGCCCCTAACCCAGCTGACTCCCTCTCCCTTCCTCCCCTGTCCCAGCCTGGCCTCAGTGCCAGCCACAGCTCCAACAACCTACCCAGAGAAGGGAAGGCCTCTTTCACAGTTCCCTTACACAGATCAAGGCTGATTAAGACAACCAGAGCAAAAGAACGCCGTGGTCTCTACAATTCCGGGCACTTCCAAAGGATGGAAGATAGACAGAGTGAAAGTAACAGAGTGACAGAGCTGGAAGGATAGAAATTGGGTCAGAGAATAGCTTGGTATTTCAGAAGAGGAGGAGCTAAGGGCAGTGACAAAGCCCATGGCATGTGTGCCAGGCTGAGTGGAGTGGAGTTTATGGGGTCAAGGATCTGTGGGGCCAGATGAATGAAGGCGGTATTCATATGGACACTGGAGTCAGCCAAGGATGAGACAAGAAAGGATGTGGTGAGACAAATGGATTTACTGCACACGTAGCCCACCTGAAGTATCCCAGGTACACAGCCCCTAAGCCTGTCTGGCCTCCTGATGCCTGCTCCCCAAGAATGTTGTTGTCAGCAGTCCTTTGTTGGTCTCTTCTGCCTATACGTTGGACTTAGGAAGATGAACCAAGTTCTCTGCTAATGATGTAATGGCAACTTGATTTTTTTCAAATCTGTATAATCCAGAGAGATGGTATAAATTTCCCTCAGGGGAAAATATGGCAAGTCCCAAAGGAATTCATATGCATGACTAGCCCTGTCCTCAGCTGAATGAGAATGGACAAGTGACACAGTGAGGAGAGGTGCCAGTGCTGTACTACAGGACCAGAGGCTATGGCAGCCCAAAGAATGGCCCCTGACCCACAATCATGTGTCTCATCCCTGGAGATTGCCATCATTCCATTCCATTCCAATCCATCCCATCCCATCCCATTCCATCCTCTCTCCATTCCCAGACTCTGGAGAGCCAAGTGCTAAGAACTGGTGGGGATAGGAAGGGACTCTGAGCTATTCCTGTAGGACAATAGGGCTCCTTCCCCTTACTTGGTTCAAGTATCCAGGGCACTCAGGGATTCACAGAGTGATGGCCAAGGGGACTTCCCACCAGTGAGGTGAGTCTGGATGGCTCCCAGGGACCACAGTGCTCATTTCCAGCAACCTGATCCATCAGCATCCTGATTGTCTCATTTCCACACACTAAGGAAGAGCTAATGGCATGAGTCACACAGATGATGTTAGGCAATGGGAGCCACCTCCAATTTTAAGGAAGCTTTGCTCTGGGCCCTGGTGATGTGCAGACCCAGGGACCAGTTTAGAAATAGCTTGCTTCAGCCCCTGGTTTTAGAGTTTTGTGTTTTGTGATTAATCATAGTTGCTTGTAAGAAGGAAGAGAGAGGGAAGGGACTGAGTGCCCTTCTAAAGGACCCTCCAGAGGAAATTTTCCACCTCTGGCTCCTGGCTTCTCTGACTTCTTATTCTGTGTTCTCCGAAGACGCAGCCAGGAACTTCTGCTGGCCAGCCTGGTCGGGTAAAAGGTATGAATTCAGGTGGGACTGAAGTCAGTTATACTAGTTTGAGATCCTGGTTCTACCTCTTGCTGACAGACAGCCCTCGAATAAGTCACATAACCTCTCTGTGCCCCACTTTCCTTGTCTGTGAAACGTCTGTATGAGGTTTATGGGTAGTGAATATGGAAGTGCTTTGAAAACACTAGATATGTGTCAATTATCCCTTGAGTGTTCCGTGAATGGCACACCTCCTCCTTCACCAGCATAGCCACTGGCAACCCCAACCACCTCTAGGTACTCTTTTTGGCTTTGAGAGTCTGTCCTTTTTGCCTTTTTGCTTACGTTTTTCTTTTTTGCTTGTTTGCTAGGTCCCAATCTCCAAATTCTCATCTTTGTTCTATGATGCCAGTAGCTGGAGGGAAATTGAGTCAAAAGATTGGACAGTGATGACCTCCTCTCTGCTGAAAGGAGAAATTTCCCTGATTCCACTTCACCGGCACGCCTCCCGGTCCCATCAGCATCGTGGGCCATTTCAAGGTCCGTGGGGAAATCATGTCTAACACTCTCAGCTACACAGCTTCTTGACTTTCTCAACACCACCAATGACTGTGGTTCACACCTAGATCAAATCTTGCCCAACTGGAGATTTCACAGGCTGCTAGCATCAATATTTAACTATTTGCTTACACATCCAAGGAGAAAGGGAGATCGGTTACTGTACTTTGTGTTCAGCCTCTAAATGCCCTCCTGCTGAAGACCACCAGGACAGCACCTGTTGTTGAAAACATTGGGTTTATGACTTCTCACAGCTGGGGAGAGTGCAATCCACAGGGAATGTAGAGTGTCTCAGTAAGAGGGTGTTAGAAAGAACCTGTTACAGGATCTGGGCTCTGACTAGGTAATACTGAGGAAGGTCCCAGGAAGTAAGGCTTTGCTCTGAATTGGATGCTGTCAGGAATCACAGACAATTCCATGATTCTTTGCAGAAGAGTTCTTTGATAATTTCTTTCTGTGTAGTATATCAAATGACTATCGTTGTTCTTCTCCTTCTCCTTATTCTAATTCTATTATGAACAGTGCTGCCCTGAACCGTCATTTTACACTTCACCTAATATAACAATAAGCGTTGAAGAGTTTCTCTAGAGAATAAACCCAGGGGTAAAGTTTCTTGGGGGCATAAAAATATCCAGATTTAGACGATAATGACAAACCGTTTTCTAAATAATTGGTTGTACCAATGTCTTTGAGCCACATCCTCACCATGGTTGGTGGATGTCTTAATTTTTGCCAACCTAGTGTGTCAAATTGTATTTTGTTGTTGTCTTCATTTGAATCTGCTTGGTTGAATAATGAAGCTGAGATCTTTTCAAGTGTTTGTCACTATTTGTGTTTCCTTTCCTTTGAAGTATGAATGTATATCTTTTGCTCAATTTTCTATTGCTTCTTTGTCTTTCTTTCAGTAACTTTCAGGAGTTTTTACATATTCTGGATAATAATTCTCTGTGGATGAGAGATGTTGCAAAAACAAGTAGAGCCTTATATTTTCTCTTGGTTAATGATGTTATAAAAGTTCTTAATTTTACTCTAGATTCATTTATTAATACTTATTTCCCCCCCAATACTTATTTTTTATGCTTAGTGCCTTATTTCTATCTTTAGAGAAAATCTCCAGAGTTAAAATTTGTTCTTTTATATTTTCTTCTAAAAGTTTAAAAATGTCACATTTAAGTCTTTGCTCTATCATTAGTTGATTATTTTATATGGCTTGAGGTAGGGACAGTATTTTTTTTCAGATAGTAACCAATTATCCCAACACTTGATACCAGTGCCCGGTAATGATTTCTTGGTCACACATCAAATGTTCATGTATGTATAGCTTGTTCATTTGCCTATTTGTCTATTCCTGCAAGAACACCACACAATTTCAATTACTAGAGTTGTATAATAAGTTTTGATAGTGTCAGACCTAACAGTTTTTTCCTCTTTTTTGAAATGCAAATGCCTGACTTAAGCTTTGATTTCCGAGGCATCTGTTTCAAAAAGGCATCTGCTTCAGTGAAGGCTATCTTGAATAAACACATTGCCAGCCACACAACTAGGTAGAGAACCAGGCCGCCTCTCCCTACTGAGGTTCCTTTGTTTTGAAGATCTTGACTGGTTTTAATTAACTGACCATTTGGGCTACTTATTGTTTTTCTCTTCCTTGCTTTAAATTTCCTCTCTTATGTTTTAAACACACCAATAAAGAGTGAGCCTGGGAAACCCTAGACTCACGACATCGCTGTGTGACCCCAGGTGTGCTGTGTAATTTCCAGGTCCTGTGAGTAATAAACCTTTTATTTTTTCAAAGTTTCCTGGTGTGTGTTGCTGAAGGGCATCATGCAATCATAAGAACTACAAGGGTCAGTCCAGCCTCAACATTGGTTATTGATGGGCTGAGGGCAGCACAAAACAGGTATCTGCTAGGGTGAACCCTGCCCCTTTCTTTTTCAGAGGTGTCTTGGCTATCCTTGTGCCTTTCAGCTTGTCAACTTCCACGAAAGCCCTGTAGAATTGATTGAATACATAGAAAGAACTGACACTGTATAACATTAAGCCTTCCTTCTCATGA